AACATGGCTCACTTGGTTAATCCTCGGCCTGCACGCCAGCATCCCATATGGGTGCCGGGTTCTAGTCCAGGTTGCTCCTCTTCCAGTCCAGCTCTCTGCTGTGGCCTGGGAAGGCAGTGGAGGATGGCCCAAGTGCTTGGGCCCTGCACCCATATGGGAGACCAGGAGAAGCACCTGGCTCCTGGCTTCGGATCAGTGCAGCACTAGCCATAGTGGCCATTTGGGGATTGAACCAATGGAAGGAAGACCTTTCTCTCTGTCTCTTTCTCTCACTGTCTATAACTCTACCTGCCAAGAAAAAAAAAGGTTATGCTGTTTGAAAAAGAAATTAAAAAAAAAAGTAATATTAAGACTATAGGTAAAATTAAAAATCCAGTTTTAAGATTGTGGAAAGCAAAAGAAAGCAGAAATTTGAAGGGCACACAGTTATAGTTCTCCATCTAATAAAATAAGTATAAGTTACTGCAATATCTCTTGAAATAAAAGCCTTGTTATCCATTCCAAACCAACAATTGTGTTTGTCAAATGAAGACACAGTAATGTCCACACAACTTCAAATAAAGCTAATACTAAAAAATTCAGCATGAAAATAAAAATATTTCCGCTGATGAAAATCAATTCTTCCCTTAAGAAATACTATGGCACAAAAGAATCATTTACCATAAAATACCCAAGCTGAATTAAATATCTGGAGACAAATATTTGGGGAAGTAAAAAAAATTGGGGCCGGCGCCGCAGCTCAATAGGCTAATCCTCCACCTGTGGCACTGGCACCCCGGGTTCTAGTCCAGGTCGGGGCGCCGGATTCTGTCCCGGTTACCCCTCTTCCAGGCCAGCTCTCTGCTGTGGCCCGGGAGTGCAGTGGAGGATGGCCCAAGTGCTTGGGCCCTGCGCCCGCATGGGAGACCAGGAGGAAGCACCTGGCTCCTGGCTTCGGATCAGCGCGGTGTGCCGGCCGTGGCGGCCATTGGAGGGTGAACCAACGAAAAGGAAGACCTTTCACTCTGTCTCTCTCTCTCACTGTACACTCTGCCTGTCAAAAAAAAAAAAATGGATGGTAACTTTGAATCAGAAATTCAAACACCAAGAACATAACTGGACAAAACTAGGAAGAAATGATACAATTTTATGTATCCTAGAAAGAAATAGGAGAAAACTTTGTCAAATTTTTTTAATAAAATTAAATAAAACCCCTACCATTACCTCAGTTGTTCCTATTTTGTAGGATACTGAAAGGAAAGACTCATACTTTACAAAATATAGGACCAGTGATTCTTTATTCATGTGGAGGAAGTGCAGGCACCATATGCCGTGTTAAGGATTATATTCCCTGAAATATGCAGCAGTAGAGGTGAACCTGGTAGACACCATGCTAAGTAAAATAATCCAGTTACAGAAGGACAAATGCTGCATGATTACACAAGTATGAAGTGTCTAAAATAGTCAAATTCATAGAAGCAGAATGGATTGGTATTTGCCAGGGGTTGGGGGTATGGGGAAGTAGAGAGTTGCAGTTTAACAGGTGTTAAGATTTCATTTATGTAAGAATAAGTTCTAGAGATCAACTCTTCCATATTGTGCTTATACATAACAGTAATATGCAGGGGTCTTCAAAAAGTTCATGGGAATGGATACTAAGAAAAAACCATATTTGGATTTCAAAATTTATTTTGAAATTTAATTCATTATTCCATGAGTATTTAAGCCCTCTCATGAACTTGCAAATAAATATTTTTAAAAAAATTTGAATAGGTTTTATATTAAGTGCTATTATAAAATTATAAAATTTTTAAAGCTATATCTTTAAAGAAAAAGGTGACCCTTAAAAGAAGGTAAGCACAAAGTATCTTTGTGACTGCCTTTGCCTCTGTTGTTAGAATAGGATCTTATCTTCAAGTTTAAAGAGTAATTCCTCAAACTACTCAAGCATAGCCAAGGATTTAAATCAGTATATTGGGTAAAGCATTAATAACCATGAGAAAACCTTCACACTTGCCAGTACTTATTTCAGATGCTTTAGAGAAAGAAACTTTCAAATGCTAGCAGAGTAGAAAGGATGTCCTCTCCCCAAAATATGTCAAGTATCTACTGCTTAAGAACAAACAAACCACAACAGAACTGGGTACAGGTAGAGGAAATACAAAACATAAGCAGAAGTCCACAATTTGGACGTGAAACAAAAACTTAGTAAAATAATTCATATAACAACAACAACAAAGTCACAATAGTCCTTTCTGACTCAATGGAATTCAGTGTGTGCTCAAATGTTCAAGTCCTTCATGGTCTTAATCAACAAGAGATTCAAATGACAATAATACATGGAGATCTCCATTAAATTTAAATGAATTATCAAATTGGGTATTTAACTAGTCATTTTTGTCCTGAAACAGAATATATAAGAAAGAAATATGAGCCATAAAGAAGACAAGAATTGCCCATGAATTAGTGGAGGACATAATTACAAACCTCACAGTTTAGAACATATTAAATTTCATTTTGTTTGCCTTTTATAGCTGGCTTGGTCAGGCCAAAGACAGGAACCTGGAACTCCATCCTGGTCTCCCATGTGGGTGTCAGGGATACACATATTTGAACCATCACCTGCTGCTTCCCATGATAAACATCAGTAGGAAGCTGTTTGTGAAGCTTAGTAGCCAGGACTTGAACCAGGCAGTCTGATATGTGAGTCAGGCATCCCATGTGGTACTGTCAAGCCAAGTTTTTAAAGGGAAAATAAGGAAATATTGTATTTTACATCGATAAATTGGAAAATTTAGAGTAAATGGACAAATTATTTGAAAGATAAAACCTATGAACTCTTACTCAAGAAGAAAAAGGTAGCCTGAAAATTTCTGTATCTGAAAGCAACTTAATATGTTGTTAAAACAAAAAACTTCATATAAAATATACTCCAGGCTCAGCTGCCTTCATTAGTAAATTCTGCCAAGGATTTAAGGGAGAAGTAATTTCAGGTGCTATACATATATTCATTTCCCTTCATGAAAATGGAAGGAACATGTTCCAGTTCATTTTTGGTTTGTTTTATTTTATTTATGAGGCTAATATTATACTGATACTAGAGAAATTATAAGACACCAAAAAATGCAGAACAGTATCAGTTTTAGCATAGACAGAAACATTCTTAATATAAGATTATCCAGTAGTACATAAAAAGGTTAACATGATCAAGTGAGTTTTATTCAGGAATGCAAGAAAGAGAGGGCTGGCAAGGTGGTGTGGTGGGTAAAGCCACTGCCTCACATTCCTGCATTTAAGACTGGATTGCCTGGGTCTGAGTCTCACTTCTACTTCTGATCTACCTTCCTGCGTATGTGCCCTGAAAGGCAGCAGATGATGGCTCAGGTACTTTGTTCTTTGTCACCAAATGAGAAATTCCCACAGAATTCTTGGCTCCTGGTTCTGACCTGGTCCAGCCTTGGCTTTTGCAGGCGTTTAGGGAGTGAACCAGCAGACTGAAGATCCCTCTTCCAAGTGAACAAACAAACAAACAAACAAAAACCTAAAAGGAACAAAATACACTCATGGCAAAGTATTTTTTTTTTTGAAAAAGAGCTTAGTAGGATGATGAAAAAATTATTTTCCTTCCCCAAAATTCCCAATCTCTTCTTTGTGTACTAATTTAGGTTGGATTAGGGATCAATTTAATGGCCTCATTTAGTTGAACCATGTCATTAAAGTCCCTGTGTCCAGTACAGTCATGTTTTGAGATACAGAATGTTAGAGCTTCAATGTCTGAATTTTGAGGGATCACAATTCAGCAAGCATAATATCTCTTTTACTACATAGTTTTATTCTGTTAGATTCTTCCCTTTATCCTTCCTTTCCTATTTCCCTCTTTTTTCCCAGTTTCCCTCCTCCCTTCCTTTCACCCTATTTTCTCTCCCCTCCCTTTACTTCTTTGTAATATCTTTTACCTCCCCTCCCCTCCCTTCTGCTTCCCTTCCCTTCCCTTCCCTTCCCTTCCCTTCCCTTCCCTTCCCTTCCCTTTTCTTCTCTTCTTTTCCCCTTTGAAGACAAGATTACAAAAATATTTCTGTCTTAAATATATGAGGAAAAAGAAGCTAGATAAAGACCACAGTATTTCATATTTTATACTTTGTGTCACTACATTGATGCTGGCAGACAACTGGAATGATAATGCTGTAGCCACGTGATGCTGATACGCCTTTTTTAAAATGAACATAGAAGTCCTGTCATTCAAAAGTAGTTCTTAAGGCATGAAGACTCCTAAACAAAATGAAAATTGTTGAGATAGCATATAACACAGTTCTAGTTTTTCTAGCTGAAAATAATTCAAGTCTCAAAGTAAGTGATTTGCTTCCTGATAAAAAGTGAAATACCAGGACTTCAGTTAAAAAATGGATAATCACCACCCATTCTTCTTGTTTATTTTTCTGTTTTACCTCTGAGCTACATCTGTGGAGAGCTGTGATTATCCATATTTGGGATATATAGGATCTCTGATGTTATCAACTGTCCCCTTCCTCAACTCATCAAATAAATTTGCTCATATATTGTTCATAGTTCCTATTTTGCTGTGCAAATGGCATGGTCATCTGCTTTACTCTTCAGAAAATATCAGAAAGAACATTGGTCCTATGTGGCTCTGTGAATTTGGTGAGAGTCCATCTGGCATAATTGGTAAATGGACTGGTTTTCACATATTGGCTATAATAATTGTAAAGGCCAACTTGTAGGTGATTTTGTAATTTACAGATGGAAAATTTGATTATTACCACCTGTTCTTGTCTAGCACAATTCTTAGAAAACCTGTATCTGAATACTTGCTAGTTTAAAAACCATTTAAAGGCTATTTGATTCATTATACCATTGTATTTATTTTACTAGAAATTGTTCATTAATAACATGCCAATAAGTATTCTTCTATGTATGATGAGGTGACCTCAACCTCTCTATATGATGCAATAGGAGTTCTATATCTTGACTCACTTCCTCAGAAATTTAACAACTCTCCACAGGCAGGAATGCCCCCCAGAATGTACTGGAACTTGGGGACGAGGCTGAGACTCCGTGGACTGCAGAACCAAGAGAAGCCATAATGCAGTATGAGTGGAATGATTCTCTATTATTGTACCCCCTTCCTTTAATCTTGCATAGTACCTCACGGAGAGCATTCCTGAGAACTCAGGGTTTCTACAGTGAGAAAAGTGATTTGGAAGAATGCCTTCCACTTCCCCATCATTGTGTGATCCTTTTTTAGTAGTCTAGCCGCCACGTCATCCTCCGAGAAGCATTGGGAGTACCAACAGGGCTAAATTAGAAACAAAGAATGAAAGTGGGGCTCAGAGTAACCATTATGTAGATCCTGTGAGTTGCTCTGCATTTTGGCCAGTGGAGGTGTTAACAACAGAAAGATCAGGAGATAGCATCATGCTGCAGAAAATGAGTCCCTGCCTCTTTCAGGCTCGTATTACACCTCTAAGTAAACTCACTTTTTCATTAATAGGGAATTCTAAAGAAGCTGGGGAAGCAACCGTAAGCATGTTGGAGGAAATAATGGCTGAAAAATTCCAAACTTGGGAAAGAGGACAATATCCAGTTACAGGAAATAAAGAGGTTGAAGAAATTCAACCAAAAGAAACCGATCCCATTCAAAGGGAACCCTGATAGGACTTTCAGTAGATTTCCTAGCAAAAACCCTGAGGCCAGTAGGGAATTGGCTTATATGTTCAAAATGAAGAAGAAAAAGAACTGCCAATCAAGATTACTTTACTCAACAGAGCTGTGGTTTAGAAATGAGGCAGGAATAAAATCCTTCTGAGAAAAACAAGATAATGGAGTTCATCCCCACTAGGCCTACTTTATGGAAATGGCTCAACTTGAGTTCTTTAAGGTCAAATGAAGGGCTGCTAATTAACAACAACAAAAAAACCCTATTAAAGTAAAAAACTCAATGGTATTTGCAAACAGAATTTGTATTAGAATTTTCTGATACTATAAGGGCAGTGCAAATCGGGAGAGTTAAAAGTCAAAACTATTGAAAAACAAATGTAGGTAAACCATTAACAGATATAATTTTAAAAATATTAATTTTGATATCAAAATAATAAAAATGGCATGGTAGTGGGAAGGATTAAAATGTAGGGTTTTTGTATGAAATTAAAAGCTGGTTATTGCCAGTGCTGCGGCTCAATAGGCTGATCCTCCACCTATGGTGCCGGAACCCTGGGTTCTAGTCCTGGTCAGGGCGCCAGATTCTGTCCCGGTTGCCCCTCTTCCAGTCCAGCTCTCTGCTGTGGCCTGGGAGTGCAGTGGAGGATGGCCCAAGTGCTTGGGCCCTGCACCCACATGGGAGACCAGAAGAAGCACCTGGCTCCTGGCTTTGGATCAGTGCAGTGTGCCGGCCGCAGTAACCATTGAGGGTGAACCAATGGAAGAGGAAGACTTTTCTCTCTGTCTCTCTCTTTCTCACTGTCCACTCTGCCTGTCAAAAAAAAAAAAAAAAAAAAAAAAAAAAAAAGAAAAAAAAAAAAAGCTTGTTATTACCATCTAAAAGTATCCTATTATAAGGGTAACATATTTAATGTAAGACTCATGATAGTCACAAAGCAGAAACCCATAGTCTGCACAAAATATAAAAATAGTGGATTGAAAGCATACCATCATAGAAAAATTATCCAACTACAAAAGAAGGCAATAAGAGGAAAAACAAAGGAGGTATGCTTAGTAGCACTTCTATTTACATTTAACAAGCTATCTGAAAAGGAAATTAATAAAATAATCCTATCTCTTATAGCAACAGAAATTAAATACTTAAGTGTACATTTAACCATGAAGGTATACAATCTTTATACTGAAAAGTATAAAACACTGATGAAAGAAAACTTAATTAAATGGAAAGAAATCCTATGTTTAATCTTCTGAAAAAAATTGTGAAAAAGTTTACAGATTCAATGAAATCTCTTTGAGAATTCCAATGCCATTTTCACATAAATGGTAGAAACAATCCTCAGATTCATATGAAACCATAAAATATCCTCAATAGCCAAAAGAGTCTTGAGTAAAAAGGACAAATATGGGATATTATCCTCTCTGAAATCAAAACATACCATAAACTGAGTATACTAAAAACAGTATCATATAGACATATAAACTGACATACTGACCAATGAAACAGGATAGAAAACCCATAAATAAATGTATACATTGACAGTTAGTTGGTTTTGAAAAAAAATGTGCCAAGAACACACAATGGAGAATACAGTTTCAACAATAAATGACATTGGGGAAACTGGATATCTGTAAGCAAAAGAATGAAATGAAATTCTACCTTATACCATATTGAAAAACCAACTCAAAATGTATTAAATTCATAACAATAAGACCTGAACCTGTAAGACTACTATAAAAAACAACAAAGGGAAAAAACTGTGTGATCCAATAATCTCATTACTGGATGTATGTCGAAAGGAAAGGAAATTGGTGTGTCTAAGTGATGCCTGCACTGCCTTGTTCATTGAAACCTTATTTATTATACCTAAGATAGGGAATCAACCTAAGTATCCATCAATAGATAAAGAAAGAAAGAAAATGTAGTATTTTTACACAATAGAATACTAATCAGCCTTAGTTAGGGGGAAATCTGTCATTTATGGTAACATGAATGAATTTGGAGGACACTGTGTTATGTGAAATAAGGCAAGCACAGAAAGACAAATACCACATGAACTCATTAATATGTAGAAACTTAAAGATGAACTCCTAGAATCAGGGAGAAGAATGATAGTTGCCAGAAGCTAAGGGTAAGGTAGAGAGGAAGGAAATGGAGAATTATTGATGAAAGAGTATAAAATTTCACAGAACAGAAAGAATGTATTTTGAGATTTTTTTGTACGGCATGGTTATTATATTAGGGCACTTTAAAAAGTAGAAAATTGCATTATAATTGAATTAAAAATTTATTTTAGTATAAAATGTTTTCAAAATTCATGCACAATTTCTCATAATATACATTTGTATTAACTTTTTCAAGACTGTTCATCTTCAATAGTAATATGTGTTTCAAAGTAAATTTTAAATGTCTCACCAAAAAATTATAGGAAGTGTGGTTATGAATACATTAATCAGCATGATTTAAACATCCCACATTTTATACATATACAAAGTATCACACTATACTCCCACAAGAATATATAATTATAATAGGTAAATATAATTTTAATCAAAATAAAACTCAACAAAGTGAAGATGTACTGACAGAATGGGAGAAAATATTTGCAAGCTATACAACCAATAAAGAGCTCATATCCAAAAAAATTTTCATATCCAGAATTTATAAAGAGCTCAAGAAACTCAGCAGCAACAAAATAAACAATCCAGGTAAGAAAGGACAAAGGACTTGAACAGATGTTTTTTTTTTTTTTTTTTTTTTTTCAAAAAATGAACTTTAAATGGCCAACAGACACACAAATGAATGCTCAGAATAATTAACTGTAGGGGAAATGCAAATGTAAACCACAAGGAGGATTCACTTCGCCTCAGTTAGAATAGCTATCATACAAAAATCAAAGAACAATAAATGCTGGTGAGTATGTGGAGAAAAAGTTACCTTAATACATTGTTGGGAATGTAAACTAGTACAGTCCTTGTGTAAGACAGTATGTAGATTCCTCAGAAATATGAAAATAAATCTACCATATGTCCCAGCTATCCCATTCCTGGGAATTTATTCAAACAGAGTGAAGTCAACATATGTACCCCCATGTTTATTGTAGCTCAATTCACAATATCTAAGATATGGAATCAATCCAGGTGTCCTTCAATCAATGACTGGATAAACAAAACATGATATATATGTGCTATGGAATACTACTCAGCCATAAAAAGGAATGAAATCCTGTCTTTTGCAACAAAATGGATGCAACAGGAAACCATTATACTTAGTGAAATAAGCCAGTCCCAAAAAGACAAATACCATATATTTTCCCTGATCTGTGGTAACTAATAGAGTACAAAAAATTTTATACGAGCAAAATTGACATTTAGAGATTTTATTATTCTTTACAGCCCTTGTCTACTGTTGAGGAACAGTATTTTTTTTCTTACTACTTGTTGAATTCTTTTTTTTTTTTTTTAAGATTTATTTACTTTGAAAGTCAGAGTTACACAGAGAGAGAAGGCGAGGCAGAGAGAGAGACAGAGACAGAGAGAGAGATGTCTTCCATCTGCCTGTTCACTCGCCAATTGGCCGCAATGGCTGGAGCTGTGCCAATCTGAAGCCAGGAGCCAGGTGCCTCCTCGGGGTCTCCCACGTGGGTGCAGGGGCTCAATGGCTTGGGCCATCTTCTACTGCTTTCCCAGGCCACAGCAGAGAGCCGGATCAGAAGTGGAGCAGCCGGGTTTCAAACCAGTGCCCAAAAGGGATGCCAGCAATGCAGGTGGTGGCTTTACCCACTATGCCACAGCGCCAGCCCCTGTTGAATTCTTTACTTAGTGGTTAAGCTTATGATTGTGAAATAAACTGAAAGTCTATCATTGTAAAAATCAAAAGAAAGAATAAGGAAGGAAGGAGGAAGGAAGGGGGGCATGTGGGTGAGATTGGGAAATATTGCTGTACTCCTAAATCTGTATATATGAAACACATGAAATTTGTTAATGTTACATAAAATTTAAAAATTGAATAAAAGGAAAGAGAAAATTGTTTACAAGGTTACTGCAGCATTTTATCAGTTTATTTAAAACTTAGATGAGAAACCAATCAAAACATGAACTATATCATCTACTTACATGTCTCTTGTAAGTCGGCATTGTGACATAGTCGGTAAGCTGCTGCCAGTGAGGCTGGCATCCCATAGGGCACTAGTTTGTGTTCTGGCTACTCCACTCCAATCCTGCTTACTGCTAATGAGCCTGGGAAGGCAGTGGAAATGACCCAAACACTTGAGCCCTGATACCTACATGGGAGACCTAGATGAAGCTTTTGGTTCCTTTCTTTGAGTTGGCCCAGTGCTGGTCATGTAGCCATTTGGGAAGTGAACCAAGAGATAGAAAATTTCTCTATCTCCTTCCCACTGTATCTCTGACATTCAAATAAATAAATAAACCTCTTAAAATAAATAAAATTCTCTTCGTTAACGTGAACTCCATTTTTAAAATACTGTTTACTACAAAAACTGGAAATTTATTCAAAATGGCAATTAAGTTAATATTGCAATGACAGTTGAATAGTGAAAGTGAAATTTATAGCAAATTTTCCAATAAACATGATATCAATATAACTCATTTAACCTTTTGTTTTCTTATGTACACTATAAAGGATTTTCAACTATTTTTTAAAACTCTGGAACACCACATTTATAATGGTGAAACAATTCTCTTTGTCCAGTGTCTTTTCCACTCATATTCTCATCTCTTATATCCCTGGTCATCTTGAGGTATCAATAGTGAAATATTGAGATATCAATGTGAAATAGAGTTTACAATTCTAGTACAAGATAGGAGTCAGAAATGGAGATTATCTATCCTACCCTATCATTGAATGTCAAGTATGTATAATGTTTCAGAGTATGATATCCTGAATTTACCTTTTCAGTTTCCTACTTGAATAACAGGAATGTTTGGAGAAATATAGACATCCTTGTAAAGGAATTGTGCTCTACGCAGGAGCCTAGGGAGGTGGGATACCATTTTATTTTTTGAATATTACAGTCCTTATTACAGCAATAAACTGAAACCTTAGTGGAGGAATTAGATGGAAATGTTGAAGTCACAGGGAACTCCAAGCTGCTCAGTGTTGGGTAGAGTAAACTATTCCAGATATTAAGGGGATTTATAAGTGTCAAAGTATGTAAACCAACAATACTCAAATTTCAACTCATCGGACACATGAAGAATCGAATTGCTTCCAACTTAATTTGGTGAAATAAAAGAGATATAATCATGCATGTAAAAAGGATTATGGAGCAGTTCATAATTGCACAAGAACCTTCCTTCCTTCCTTCCTTCCTTCCTTCCTTCCTTCCTTCCTTCCTTCCTTCCTTCCTTCCTTTTTTTCTAGTTGTATTTATTTATTTGAAAGGCAGAGTTACAGAGAGGCAGAGACAGACAGAGGTCTTCCATCCACTGTTTCACTCCC